ACTAAAGACAACAAATCATATATTTTTGCTTTATTTCTTTATTTTCTTTTTTTTTCTTGCCTTACTGTCATTTGATGACAGCAGCACATTTGGAAGTTGTGGCTTGTGTCTCCAGTGTTTGTGTTGCACCTTATATCAAGGTCCCTCTCCAATGTGGATGTATTTGTTTTTCATAAACTTTTAGTTATTTTGTGTTTGCATACACTTAATTTTTCAATTTCCCCAGGCCTGTGGAATCATTGTTGAGATGATCCGCTCAAAAAAGATGGCAGGAAGAGCAATTTTGTTGGCAGGACCTCCAGGAACAGGAAAGGTTTGTGCATTGTTTTTCCAAAGTGCTGAGATACGAGTATGAGTACAAGCTCATTAACCTGGACTTTTTACTTGAATAATGATCATTATTCTGCCCTCTGATTTCTGCGTTTCAACCTTCAGACTGCCCTTGCTTTAGCTATGGCACAGGAGTTGGGAAACAAGGTTCCTTTCTGTCCCATGGTTGGCAGTGAAGTGTACTCATCTGAAATTAAAAAGACAGAAGTACTTATGGAGAACTTTAGGAGAGCAATTGGTAAGTATGATATATACCATGCCATTTCATGTCACCTTTATTTTCTAGACACACATAAGCATCTATCTATCTGTCTGTCTGTCCGTCCGTCCGTCTGTCTATATATGTATAAGTTTTATAAGTTCAATATGTGCTACCTTTACACCAGTGGTGTAAAACAGGGATGCTGTTATTCAACAAACATAAAGCCAGAGTTTGTGTGTAAAGAGTTTTTCTTAAACCTTCACTTTCATTGAAACTGGATGTTCTGATTAAATCTGCTGCCTCTAGCTTCAAGCTAATACTAGATGGTGAATTTACAGAGAGGATTTTTCAATGAAGAAAAACAGAGAGCGTTTGGCTGACTGATGATGTTACCTTTTCAATGAGAAGGAAATAGAGACAGAGTTGGTCAACATCACATTGGCTTCACCTCTAGAAGGGATTTTGCAGGGACTTTGGGGGCTGGGGTTCATTTCGTTTGTCGTCACCCCGTCAGTAGCAACTCTGCAGCACAGTCCCTGCCTTACGCACAGCTCTCTGACCCTCAACATGGAGGATCAGGCACCTGTGTGCTGCTTATGCTCAGATCCACAGCCTCTGTGAAAGAGGTATGATCATGTTACACTGATGCTCTGGCATTTGCCCGGTGTGCGCACGTTCTTTCCTGTAATAAAAGGCATTATTCAGCAGTCTGAAAGATGTGGCGGCTTTGCAGAGACGGGAATATAAAGACCTGATTGAATCCTCATTATGAAGTGTGTGTGTACGTTCAGGTCTGCGCATCAAAGAAACAAAGGAGGTGTATGAAGGAGAGGTGACAGAGCTGACCCCGTGTGAGACGGAGAATCCTATGGGTGGCTACGGAAAAACCATCAGCCATGTCATCATCGGTCTGAAGACGGCCAAAGGCACCAAGCAGCTCAAGGTCAGATCTTTCTCCTTTATTTGTTCTTCGTCTACTGTTGCCAGTAAATAATCTCTGGAAGCAAAGTGTCTAATAAACACTATTGTTTAAAGTATTTGTCTTCTCTTGAGTTTTATTTGTATGGATCAGATGAATGTTTTTAGGAGCAATTTTGCTGATTCTAAAGTATAGTTTGTGCAATATGAATGACTTAAAGTTGACCTAAAAAGTTCTTTTGTGCCTCCTCTAGTTGGATCCCAGCATTTATGAGAGTCTTCAGAAAGAGCGTGTGGAAGTGGGAGACGTCATCTACATCGAAGCTAACAGTGGTGCTGTCAAGGTAAAATTTTATTCATTTTGAGAAACAGGAATCATTTTGCTTCTTCAAAACTGGAATGAATTTGAGTCCTGACTGCATGGGCTGTGGGTAAAAAGCACTGGCTGTCTTCCTTTCTTGAATGATCTTTTTATGATTAAACAACGTCTTCTGTTCATTCCTCTTACAGAAAAAAAGCTAAGAGGTAATTTTGGTATAAAAACCCCCCACTCCTGATTATTGTTTTACCAATTTGCAATTGTGTCTTTGACAATAAATTTTTTTACATCCTCTAAGCCGGGAGCCATTTTCAGTCCACAGGGGCCTGGAACCCACAACTTTTAGGTGTTTCCCTGGTCCAACAAACCTGAATCAAATGGCTGAATCACATCCTCAGAATGTAGTCCAGTTCTCCAGAGTCCTACTAATGACCTCATTTGTGTTGAAGCAGCAACTCATCTAAAAGTTGCAGATCATTGATTCTGGAGTTCTGACATGCAGATTCAGGTGTTTTTACTTTTACTTTTTTTTTTTACTAATTTCCAGCCATATGAAGCACATTTGTCAACAAGAGAATAAAAAGCACTTCAAATTAAACACAAATTGTGTTTGTCATGAAAAGAATAAATTCTTCCTGAGATCAAAGTTGAGTCTTTGTTTTTCTGCCTCCTATCCTCTTCGCTCCTTCATGGTGGCATTCTGCTTTCATCTCTCTCCGCCCTGCATGCAGCTCTCATTCCTGCAGCCCTTCATTCTCCGTCTATCTTTACATCTCTCAGCGCAGCGGGGATCGTGGCCTGCGCTGACAGGCTGTGATGACGGTTCTTTTAATCGCTGCAGGTGGGCAGGAGGCCGAGGGGCTCGGGCCGACTGTAGTCAAGTTGCAAAGGAAGAGGACTGGGTGGCACATTTGTTACTGTTGACAGCAGCCTCATGCTCTGTTTGATTCCCCAGCCAAAGGCCTTCTCTCTGCAATGAGCTGGCAGCCGCATCACACACCTGTCCTCATTCCCCCGCTCTACTCCTGTATTCAGACGAGACTTTCTTGGTTAACAGAGTTGTGTGTCGTGATGTCTCTGCAGAGGCAAGGCCGCTGTGACACCTTTGCAACGGAGTTTGACCTTGAGGCCGAGGAGTACGTCCCACTTCCCAAAGGCGACGTCCACAAGAAGAAGGAGATAGTGCAAGATGTCACACTGCACGACCTAGATGTTGCAAATGCCCGGCCACAGGTGCATAAACCTTCAACTATGATGCATATGTGTGTTTTGAGAACAACAATTAAGTTGAAATTGTCTCCTCCCAGGGAGGTCAGGACATTCTCTCTATGATGGGACAGCTGATGAAGCCCAAAAAGACAGAAATCACAGGTACAACATGAAACCCACCGACTCTCAGGATCTAATCGTCCCAAGTTGACTGCTGGTCTTTTCCCGCCTCAGATAAACTTCGAGCCGAAATCAACAAGGTGGTGAACCGCTACATAGACCAAGGCGTGGCCGAGCTCGTCCCCGGCGTCCTGTTTGTGGACGAAGTGCACATGCTGGACATCGAGTGCTTCACTTACCTCCATCGAGCTCTGGAGAGCAGCATCGCCCCGATCGTTGTGTTCGCCTCCAACAGAGGAAAATGTCTTATCAGGTGAGAACAGGGTGTGTTTTTAACCAGAAAGAAAAAAGTTTACCTTAAACTAATCAAAACAATGTGACGTTGTTTATCAGGGGGACAGAGGACATCAGCTCTCCACATGGCATCCCTCTGGATCTACTGGACAGGGTGATGATAATCCGCACCATGCTGTACACTCCGCAGGAGATGAAGCAGGTGAGTGCTGGGATCAACATCAATGCTAGCTGCTTAGCATCGATGTTGCTCTGTGTGGCTAACAAGGCTACGGTTTGTAGATCATCAAGATCCGCGCTCAGACCGAGGGAATCAGCATCAGCGAGGAGGCCCTCACACACCTGGCAGAGATCGGCACCAAAACAACCCTCAGGTAGATGAATTCTGGATGTTTTTACGTTTTCATCTGAAGGTTTGAATCACTTGATGTTTTTTATTTAGTTTTATTTAAAAACCTAATGGGTTCCTAGACAAGCTGGGAAAGTTTGCAGTTCAAGGATTTTCTATTAAAAAGAAATCATGATGTGTAATGTAGTATGAGAGATACTGATTCCAGACTTCACTCTCCGTCCATCCATTCGTCAGTACATCCATGTAGGACTGTCTCAAGAACTGGGCAACAATTTTTTTCCAAATAATCATTGCAATAGAAAATACCGTTTTTTGAAGCCGATTTTAATGGAAATTCACCCATTTTTGGGGACAACACTTAACACGATAAATAAGACCGAGGGGATATCATAAAAATGGAAATTATTGACCTCATTTAAATTTATCATGTGATTAATTGCGTTCTGCAATAAGCAATCCATCCTGGTGACCTTTTTTTTTATTAATACGTAACTTTAGTTATAAATTAAAACTGGAAATTTTAGTCTATTGACATAAAAAACATGTGCATGAATCCTGTAATTTGTGCAGAATAATGATTTATCTCCAAATCAAAAGGTTCAGTAGAAGTGGAGGAGTTGTGTGGAGGTAAAGTTAGTTAGTAGTTTGGGGCTTTTCACTTGAATCATGCTAGCTTCCCTGCTATCAACTGCTCCTTTTGCACAAATACATTTGTTTTATCTGGTTCCAAAGACAAAAATTATCATTATTTGATAGATAAAGTATTAGTTCAAATCTATTGAATGGCAAACATAAATGAAAAACAAATCATTTTAACGATAACCATCGATATTTGCCTCGCTGCTTGTATTTCCTGTTTCCTCTCAGGTATGCTGTGCAGCTGCTGACCCCAGCCAGCCTGCTGGGCCGCGTTCAGGGAAAGGAGACCGTGGAGAGGGAGCAGGTCGAGGAGATTAACGAATTGTTCTACGACGCCAAGTCGTCAGCCAAAATCCTCCAAGACCAGCAGCACAAGTTCATGAAATGAAAAGATGCTCCACTTCCTCTTCCCTCCTTCCGTCTTTCGTCTTTTGCATTTCTGGCTGTGCATCCAGAGCTCTTCCTCCTCACCTTTCTGCCTCCCAGCCTTTTACTGTAGTAGTTCTGTTCTAATGGATTTATTGTTTTAATGTTTTTGTTGTAATTTTTGAAATAAAAGAGAAAACTCACAATTACTATTTCCATTTCTATCTGGTGTAATAGATGTTTATTACATAAACAGTCTTCTGTGTTTCATGCAGTACTGCATAAGTTGCATTGATACTTATTACTTTTACATCAGAGTAAGATCATTAGAAATAAACGAGGAAACAATTGCAATTTCTTAAAACATTAGCTTGAATTGGCAGATGACACAGAAAATATGTCAAATATTAAAATCCTGTCATTTGAACAAATATATAACCACTAATATTTAGTACATCAGTCCCACTGGTGGTACATCGCTTCCTTTTATTGACACCTCTGGTAAAGATGTGCAAAAAAAATTGCAATCAATCCATCCTGCAGTAGCACAAGAGTAAGAAACAGAACTGACTATAAGAAACTAACAGAAATGGTGAAATAAAGTTGCATCAAAATGATGTCAAACAATTTCTTGCTTCTAGCCGACTAAGGTTGATTAAACATCTCTACGAAACAGGTTAAATAACATCAGTCACATGGAAGAGGCGGCGTTCTTCCATGGAGGGGAAGTTTTCCTTTTACTTCCTGGCCTGCCGAGTGGAGCGAGTGTTGAAAGCCGTCTCTCCTCCAGATCTCGCTCCACTGAACACAGATGGAGCCGCTTTACCCAATTTCTCTGCAAAGAACCAGGACAAATCAGGAGATTTCACTGAACGGCAGACAAGCTGCTGCAAAACTGTTCACTTTATTTACGCTCATATTTAACTCCTCTGGGTAGGACAGGAATGTCCCATCATTAAAGCGCCATGTTTCCTCTCTCTGTATATGGACTGGAAACTTCTGCATCAGATTTAACTCCCCTTACAGTCATTATGGAGGTTTGACCAAATAGAGAACAGGTACACACAATCCGCTGTCAAAAGCAAAAATTTGTGTCAAGGAACACTGCCATAAATTTCTCTAGGTACATTTTAACATCCTCACCGCACTCCTCCATCACTTCAAAGGTCTTGCTCTTCACCGCCCCACCACCACCAAGTTTGGACTTTGCTTCGGTCAGGTCCTCGTCTCTCACCACGGGACGCTGCGTCTGCTCATCTTCCTGTGCAGGCTGGAAGGCAGAAACACTCACTTTAACTTATCTCCATATCTGCAGCGGCTGACAACTGGGGAAAAACCAAACCTCGGGTCTTACTTGAGACATGGTGGCCGTGCAGCAGTCGATTCCCAGCTGTAAATGTCTTTTTTCTCTTCCTGTCAGCTGGTGGGCCGCAGGCCGCCCCCAGCACTCGCTAACATACACAGACAATCTGGCAATGATTTCCCAGTGAACATTGAATCTGCTTTCAGTGCATAAGCGAGCAGGCTCCTCCTGTTGGCTGTCTCATTATAGGATGATGGATCACAACTTCATCTGACTAGATCCCAGAGATGCAGGGAGATGAGGTTTTAATTTGAGTCTATTCTTTTGTACTTTACTGCAGCAAAAATGCTTTGTGGTACTGTTAAACAGCACGTCTTAATACATAAACACCCTCAGCAGATTCTTTATTAGTGTTTACTTGTACAGATATCAGAAGAAATCTGGCTGACAGCAGAATAAAGTCACACCTCCCTTGTTGTAAAAATGCTTTTCCCACCCACTCCAGCTCATTTTCCACAATGACATCACTGTTTAGATTCTGGCTAATCTAAACACAGCACATCAGCAAGACCAACAAATCACTGGAAAGTTTTTTTCCAGCAACATTGCAAGCTTGTTGAAAACTCTTGGTATTGATGATGCATTTTTAGACAAACTGATAGAGAGGATGCAATTGACAGAAGGCAAATGTCAGCACACCACATACACAGCCCATAAAAGATAATCAGTAAGACAACGTTAATCAAATAAATATTTCGCCTTTGCTTTTACCATTTATTCCGCGATGTGACGATCCAACTAAAACGCCGTACAGGTCAAACTGAATCCCACATTGTAAAAAAAAAAAAAGAGAAAGAAAGAAAAACCCCACAAACTCAAGAAAGTGATCACAGTTATCTTATTTCATCCACTTGTAAGGTGATGAAATGATTTCAGCAGTGCTCCAGTTTCCTAATAACTTGGATCTAACAAATGTAAAAGGGCAGCCTGAAAGCACAGACCAGGTTCACTAAATGGAGATTTTGTTTTCTTTTATGTATGTGTGTGTGTGTGTGTGTGTGTGTGTGTGTGTGTGTGTGTGTGTGTGTGTGTGTGTGTGTGTGTGTGTGTGTGTGTGATTAGGCAATAATCTATTATGTGTAGTCAAAATCCAGAAACTGATTCAGAAAACATAACGTAATTTAATTAACTGGTTAATAATGAAGGTTAGTAAACAAAATATGGGTGCAAATAGTAATATTTAATCTGTGTAGATATTTTTTTTGGGGGGGGGGATGCTGATGGTTTTCTATTTTCCAAAGTCTCTCCAGCTCCTTTGCATGTTTTACTTTTCATTTCTGAAAAAAACATCTCAATAATGATCATTATCTGCATTTGCTGGCATTAATTATGTAAGATGCAGTCCAGTAATTGCTGCCATTGACTTAGTTTTTGTAGCTCAGTGCTTGTTTCCAGTTGCCTCTTGATTGTTCCCAAGATCTTTGATTTCCAAAAGTAAGAGTCCTTGTTAATGGAACAATCCATTAACAAAGAAATTGCTCCCAATGGCTTTGTGTAGTATGTGCTTCATTCCCATAACTACAACTGGTGGTCCTGGTTTTGTGTGATGATGGGTCTCTTTCCCACAAAGTCACAGATAAAGCAAAAGCTGCCAATAATTTTACTTCCTCTTGCTTTCCAAAAAAAAAAAACTTTATCTGTGGCCGGTCCTCTTCTAGTGACGTTTCTGTCATGGAAACCAGATCAAATTGAGCCACTGCAGCACATTTTCATTTCTTCTCACACTGACTCAGTGGTTCTGAATGTTAAACAACAAACTGAATTTGACTCTGTGGTTTATAACTAAGACTAAAATGTTGCTGGTTCAGATTTTGACTGGATTAAACTGGGTTGGCTTGAATTTAAATGGACTCTGTGTACAAGACATGGTTGTAAATCTTGACATGAAATGATAGATTACGTTACTGGCTCTAGAGAAATAAGCCAAACTGAATTCAATGAGCATTCAAACTGTTAGATTTTTGGTTTGTTCGATCAACTTAACATTTCATACACTTGTAGCCATGTAGTGCAAATAAAGATTGGTAACAAAAAAAACAGCATTTTTCAAGTACATTCATGTTTTCCATTCACACTTAGATCCTGAAACAGAAATAACATTTGGCAAACATTCAACACTGGAATGTTGGAGTAAAAACATATGATGTCCAATTTAAAAATATATTCCCCCTGTTAGACAGGCAGTAACTGTCATTTAGTTGATAATCTGCTTGTTGATGTAGAATATTTCCATTCCTCAGCAGCAGCAGCGGGAGTCTTTGGCGCGGTTGGTTAGGTGTGTTTCTTTCTGTAGCGAGGCAACAGCTGAGTCGTCACAAACTGCACCATCTGAGTCTCAGTGAGGAGAACAGCCAGCAGGACGAAGAACAGACAAACTCCTCCAACGCCGATATGGACCATCCTGAACAGCCAGCCGCTGTCGCAGCAGAAAACGGCCTAATGACCAAGAATTAAGAAGATAAATTTACAGAAATTAAAGCATTTTATTGTCTTGGAAAAATTTTCATTCACCTCGAGTTTTATCACACTGTCACATTTCAACCACAAACTTCAACCGAGAACTTGGTGATGAAAAGAATCTTTTCATCTCTATGTGGGATACTGACTTCAAATCCTTTTCAGTTATCACATATGTGTGTGTGGAAACACACACATATGTTTGTGTGTTTCCATTGCATAAAACCCCAGTGAAATACGTTAAAGTTTGTGGTTGCAATGTGAGAAACAATATTAAACACACTAAATGCATAGAAATATCTCTGAATATAAACACATGATAAGACAAAAGCTTTTCTTTAGTACCTCAGAAGCTGCAGTTACGCCTGCGCTGATCATGAGCACCACTAGCAAGAGCGGCGAAGGCAAAAGGCCTCGCAGTGGTTTCCACTGACTGGACTGGAAGTAGCGGTGGATGTAGAGCAGGCTGTGGGAAATGCGCAGGCCCATGTTCAGGCAGTTTGCCAGGATGAAGCCGATGCCACCGGCCCACCATGTCAGCATGTAGGACAGGAGGAGGAAGGACACGGACAGAGCCAGCATGACCAGGTTATACCTGAGGACCAAACTCAAGACGCATCAGCTCAAGAGATCTGCGATAACGTGAGAACTATCGGCGTCTGTTTCGTCTCTGTTCTTACTTGTCGACTTCCTGTTGGCTCATGGCAGCAAACACGAAGCACTCCGTCACTCCGTTCACAGCCAGGAGGAGAACATTGCAGCTGTAGCTCCGCAGCAAACCAGGTCCTTTAAGGAAATCAATGGATTGTTACTGAGATCAGAAAATAATCATATATTCAGTTTTTAAGCTTTGTTTGTGGCACACAGACCTGATCCACTGCTCAACACGGCACCACCGTACAGGTCCAGAGCCAGGAGAGAGTACGCATATCCAAACACTGTGATAATTAGTCCAATTACCAGCACCAGCTTCAGCAAACATTCCAGGACTTCTGCTGCAATCGCCACATCTTCCTGTGTGGAAAACCACAACATTAAGAGAGAAAAGCAAAGATTACCACCTGCTAGTGCTTTTGTTCGTTCGTACCTTTTTCTGACTTTCCACATCGCGTCCCCTCTCTAACACTTTGGCAAAGAAGACATAGAAGCTCTCCTCGATGGGCAGGAAGATGAAGCGGGCCACCATGGAGCCCAGGTTGTTGACGATGTCGTAGACGCCCTGGTCTCCGAAGCTGAGGACGTTCAGGAAGGTCATGACGTAGCGCTCGCCCTCGGTCAGGATCTGCTTCAGGAACGACTGCTTAAAGAAGCTCCAAGTGAGCCAGGCCACGGTCCAGTCCACCAGCGGCTGCAAATACAGCGGATGGTCAGGATGACACGGCAGGATTTTATTTAAACACTATACAATCATGAAGTTGTTCCGGGTCAACAACCTCTCCATCAGCTTTGTGTGGCAGCACATCTCTGATTTGCTGCAGAGGGAAGGCCTTCTTTGCTGCTTCTTTGGAACCCAAAAAATTAAAAAAGTAGACGACGTAGCACAACACCAGAAATCCAGTGTACACCAACTTAAAAAAAAAAAAGCACAACTAATTACAACCACAAACTCAATGTGTGTAAGTGAAACTTTAAGCTATAGATATTTTATTTTACAAATAAAAATCTAAAAAGTGTGGAGAACATTTGTGTTCCCAACATGGACTACGACCCATCAAGTCTACACTGAAGATTGTGATTTGTAGGTATTGTATTTGTGGAGAATTTCATCTTGTGTCTTACCTGGCCAGCAGAGAAGATGTAAAGACCCCACTCTGGGGCAAAAGCCACCAGCACCACAGTGACGCTGCACTTGGCGACCAGAGCCAAGCTCTCAGCAATCACTTTGAGTTGGACGAACATGTGCGCCTGAGCCAAGACCCAGAGGGGCTCAGCCAGGAGCTCCTGCACTCCAGAGAGGGCAAACAGCAGCACAGCAGGGCCGTAGTGAGGCACCGTCTGGGGATCCGGGACCTCCAGGAGCCACAGCCACACACATCCGAGAAGGGTGGCCCAAAACACACCAAGAGGCAAGCTGAAAAATCACAAACACAAAAATGCGAATTTATGGATTTATCTGACAAATGATGAATTCAAAACGTACGAGCAGATTTCTTCTATTTAGCACAAAATTATGTGGAAACTTCACACTGGAGCTCAAGCAATGTGAATTCTGTTCCTTTTCTCTCTTCCTCCTCATGTTGCACCTTAATCTCCTAATTAAATAATAATGTACTGTCAAATAATAGACACTTTAGAGCAGGGTATGTAACCGCTACAGTTCAAAGAGCCATCTTTACCCTTAGTGCAGCTAAGATAGAAAAACTTTAGAGCCACACGTTAAATGACAATGTCCTGATTTTGATGAATATCTTCATCTTTAGATGTTGGTTTGTAGTTATTTTTAAAGAAAGAATATTTTATTTTTATTATTAGGTTTTAAAATAAAATAAAATCCAAAAGAGGATGTTACAAAAAGAAAATGGATGCATTGTTTTCTATAGGACATTATTTGTGGACAATTAGATTTAAATGACCAGTTTCAAAACTGATGATAACAAAAGTATACTTTATAAAATGCAAAACTGCATGTTGCTGTTTGGAATTTGATGCTTGGAAACATTAGTTGCTTTTTTTGT